GGTTCGATTCCCAGTCAGGGCACATGCCTGGGTGTCAGGCTCGATCCCAAGTAAGGGACATGTAGGAGGCAGTCAATCAATGACTCTCATCATTGATGTTTCTCTCTCTCTCCCCTTCTCCTTCTCCCTTCTTCTCTCTAAATCAATGAAAATATTAAAAAAATATACCCTTACTTCCTAAGTTGTGTTCACAGTTTAGTGTCTATTGAGATGGGCAGCTAGTAGAGACAAAGTGCTACAGTAAGTGATTTACTTCAGCCTTTGCTCAGATATTATACAAGAGAAATTAAAGGCTAAACATTTTCTGCAAAGATCCCCCAGAGTGGGATGTTTTCTCCATGAATTCTACGACTAATCTTTGATGTTACATGCCATGGAAGCTAATGAAATAATTTAAAAATAGCAAGTCATGGGGGATACCCTATACACACTTTTTGCTAAGTTGATTTAATACTTGTTCGACCACTTTTAGTGCCTACAATGTTGAATTTCTACTTACTGGATTTAAACTAATGGGGTAAAACCTCCAGGATTCTGACCTTGGCTTTCCAGGAAAGCATCTGATCACATGGAGATATCACTGCAAAGTCCTACCCACTCTAACTTAGACTGTCTGTCCCTAAAGCCTGGGAATAGGCTTTAAAAAAAAAAAAAAAAATGGAGTTAAAACAGTGTAAGTAAGGATCTATGTTTCTGCACATATCCTAGACCACTAGATACCTTTGTTTTTTAAGTCCTCACCTGAGGACATGTTCACTGATTTCAGATGGGGGGGGAGGGGGAGGGAGGGAAAGAGAGAAAGAGAGACAGACAGACAGACATCGATGTGAGAGAGAAACATCGATTGGTTGCTTCCTGTGTCCACCCCGACCTGGGATTGAACCCACTACCTTTTGCTGTGCCGGATGATCTCCAACCGACTGAGCCAAAGGGGGGGGGGGCGCCACTAGGTGTCTTTTATTTCATTGTCAGCTGCTTCCCACTGACTGGGGAATGAATGGGATAACCTTTTGCTACTGGGCAACACGTAGTTGTAGCAGTGTTTATGGTTCTAACAGAAATCTAAACAATGTATTACACTGCTGGAAAACATACACAAGACATCTTGTAGCATAAATCCGACACACTCTCTCTATAAAGCTCGGAATTTAAGTTAAAAATAACACACTTATTTTAAGGACAGTGTATACTTTCATACATTAATAAAGCAAAGAATGGTGTTTGAAAAAATTCCACAGCATGATTCCCAGCCCTGGTGTGACACGTAAGACATGTAAAAAATTACCTCAAACGAAAACCGTCAAATCACCATTTGGAAAATCACAACCACCTCCTCTAAACTGTAATTCATTTTAATTACAAAAATAAACATATTCCACTTTCACTAAAAGGTAAGGGAGCTCAATAAATAAAGCCGTGACTTTGTTATATCTGCAAACACTTGGAAAATCATAGCCAAGAATCGAAATTCTCCAAATGCTCTGACACAGAGACTATTTCAGTCATGGAAAGTAATGGTTGACTGACAAGAGCTAATTCCATGAAAGGCCACCAAAATGCCCCAAATTCCCAAGGATGGCTTTTATGAAGATACCAGTGAGAGACAACAGCAGTAAAACATGGATTTGGTTATTTTTAAAAATGCACTAGATTTGGGATCTTAAGACTGGGGTTGTAAGTCAACTTCTGCCTCAGGACTCGAAAAATTTAACACAACAGAGCCTCAATTTCCCCACACATAAAATGATTAGAGCTGGTAAGATCATCTTTAAGATCCCTTTTAGTCATAAAAGCCCTCTACTTTTAATAATATGTTTATTTTGAATAGATAATACATTATTTTAGATCAAAAAGAAAGAAATAAAAATATTTTTAAAGTATTCTGTTCAGTCTCACTCCTACCTTCATCTCCATCTGTCCTCCTCGCCACCTCCCTACTCTGAAACCTCATACGGAATTCTCATTTTTATTAGTTTTTTTATGTAATCTTTCAGAGTTTCTTTACAAAAATATGAGCAAACACAAATATTCTCATTTACCTCTTTTCTAACAAAAAGGCACCATACTATAACCTACCAATCTTTATCACTCACAGGGCATCTTGGAGCGCTTCCCAAATCAGTAGAGATTTCTTCATTCTTAACAACTGCGCAGTTTTCATTATATGGATATCTAAAGTCTATTTAACCCACACAGACAGGCACATGGACTCTTTCCAGTGCTTTGCTATTATACATACATCATGCTGCAAAGAACAAGCTTTTATGCATGTTATCTGTACAATGTATCTTTGGGAGAAATTTTCAGGAATAAAACTGCTGAGTCAATGGGTAAAATGCATTGATAATTTTAGTAAAATCTGCCAAAATGCCTTGGATACAGTTTGCACCTACCTGCATTCTCACCAGCATATCTGGGAATCCTTGTTCCTCCACAATCTCATCAAAACAGAATTTCTTTTCTTTCTATTTTGAATGTCTACCTCATCTTGTAAATGCATGCCATCTCAGTATAATTTTAACTCCCATTTCTCTATGATGAGTTTGCATGAGTTTTTGTGTTTCGTTTAACTGTGAGCTATCTGTTGATATTCGGAAACCTTTTTCTGTAAGTTGCTGGTCTTTTCTTACTGGTTTGTCAGTAAAATATGTACTATTTCAAGATAACCGTCCTGTGGCCAAAACACAACCCTTATAGATTGCCAGTGGGTCCTTGACTAATGATATTGATCACTTCTTGAATGCTTTAAATGTTAAAAGAAAGAAAAAGAAGAAAAAGGCTTGTCATTGAGATTTTCTTATGGGAAGGTACTAACCACTATACTCAATATTCTACAAGTAATATAATATTTATGAAGAAATTTTCTTTTTCTGTGACTTTGTAAAAGGTATGCTTCATTTTCAATAGGGAAGAAATCGTTTAGAAAACTGCAAGAAGACAGTTTCATTTCACCAAATATCACAAATACTTGGATGACAGAAGAAATAATAATTGTGACTAAATGTTAGGTATAAAATAGCTTAAGCTATTAAAATATTTAATATTGTAAATACATTTGTACAGTCATTTCATTGCACGTTTTAAGAGTTCAGTACATTAATGCATGATATTTTCTTAATATCATGAAATGCAATCATCCAAATAAGCGCACACGTTTTCCTAGTAAATGTTCAAGCTATGTCTACAATCTCTTTTCTAAAAAATACTTTTTAAGAACTACAACTCATAAGAAGTGCATTTAACAATCCTAAAAATGCTGGTAACCATTAAATCCCTTCCATGATGAAATAATCAAGCAACCAAGATGCACGTATCAATAATTTTCCTTGTTTGCATTATGTAAGGAAATACCCAACCAATTTTTAAAAAATTCTTAAAATAGATCTTATTACTAACTAGAAATTTGCAAAGTCCAACTAAGGAGCATTTTAGAAATCTAGACAAAGACTTTCTTCAATGACATGAAACCCGTCCACATAGCACACAAGGTTTGATTAGAGCAGCTACAAAGAAACAGCGGTGGCCCAAGGGAATTTCAAACTCCACGCATGACCTAATCCTGAAATTTCACAGCTGGAAAGGACTTCTCTTATCTACCACCAGCATAGATTTTATGATATGAAACCTATATAGCTATGTTAAGGGATTATAAAAATACTTAGTCTTTTGTTATTTCTTTGATCCTGCAAAGTTGAAGTGCCTGTGGAATACCTTGGGTGTCCCCCGTTGACAGTCCTGAAAGCTGAAGCAGAGGGATTTGGCCAGAGTCTTTTGTGAGGACCAAAGTGGAAGCAAAAGCCTGGCCTTCATGAACTGGAGTCCTCACTACTATGGGGAATGGGATCAGGAGCCAGACCTCCTGCCCTGTGATTTTCTACGTGTGGCTTTTGGCAGGTTTTATAAACTTTCTGTGACCAAGTTTCTTCACAGGGCAATGCTCATTTTGAGGATTAAATGAGTTAAGCACTTAAAACAGTTATACACAGTGTTACGCAGAAATTTCCGTTCCATTACTGCAGAACCTACATGTGAAGGACTGACTACCGAAACGGAAATATTCAAAAGCATCTCCTCCATGGGGATGAGCACAGAGGATAAGAGCCTAAAGATATCTAAGTATACTCGTGCCAGTGGAGTGCAGGCATGGCTGAGCGAGGCGTACACAAGTAAAGGTGGCACACAGTAAACGATGGCCACCAGAAAAACTAGAGCTCAACCTGTGGGTGTCAGTTATCTCCCAATATGGTTAACGATACATGTAAACCAGTCCCTGGCGAGCTGAAAAGGTTAGCACAAACCCCTGTACTATTTGTGGTTATCTGTTACAACCCCCCCATAAGTTTACTTTTCTAATCTCTCCCGCATTTCTCTTCTATTATTCCCTTTATTTCCTCCCCATCTTTTCTCCTTTTGCTTTGCTTTCTTCCCTGAATAAACCTTAGACCTCTAAAGGACAGCACATCACATTACTAACCTTGGAGCATGATGCACGGATCCCAAAGTAAATATTATTTTGGTGCAACCTGGTTCCCAATTTAGTTATTTTAATGTATTGTAGCACCAAAATGTTAGATATCTGGGAGCAACTGGGCTCTGGGGAAAATATGATTTGTTGTAAATAAAAATGTAAAGAAATGCTTCATTAGCATTTTATTGCACTTTCAAAGCCACCTCGTAGACACTCTCCAGTTTTTAGCCTCAATCACTTAGCAACAGGGTAACCTCTATCACTACACAGGAGAAGCGCAGATGCCAATCATCCCATCACTGACCGGGCACTTCCCTCTACAGAAATGGACTGAGCATCTCAAGGTCATGCCTCACCAGGGAAGGAAGCTGTAGACTCCTATGTCAACCTAACCATGAAGCACACGATTTTCCCACTATTTCTAAATTGTTTACAACATAAATTTCTCCAGATAAACAAAGGCATCACATCAGTGACAATTCGAAACCCTCCTGCATCACCCAAGGCCTGCAAATTTTCACAGAATACCAACCTTTGGGAGGTGTGAGATTGACTCCATTTTTAAGGCACCACTGTACTGGTAAAATCCCCAAAGAATCCGCATGGCACAGCATTGAGAGTTTACAAGGTTCTGGTCTTAGGTCGTCAATAGTCACTTGAAAAAAATGATTGTTAAAAACCTGAAAGAGAAAAACCAATACAGCCACTGGTTAATTCCTTGGGATTACATGTAAGACTAGTAATGAAATATTGGCACAGCTTCCAAACGCAATCAGTGCATTTCATCAAAATGGTCTGACCACAAACCGGCATTTCAACGTGTATTACAAAATTGATCCAGTTGCTAAAAAGTTAGACTTGATCACTGTGGTCATATTAGTGAAAAGTAAACGAGTAAGTAGAATACATAGGAGACAGAGAATGAAATGTAAACCAACAATCACAGCTGAAAGATAAACAAACTGCTGAAGTAAGACAAACAAACCCTGGCCAAGGGGAAAGCCAGGCAGGCACTGAAAGATCTGATTGGCTTCTCCCTGTCCACAGCAGGGACACAAGCTCTCACAGGTCTGGCCTGGAGATTTCTAGTCTCATCTAGTCTAGTGTATCGCTCATCTTGTATCTGCCCAACTGCCCC